ACACACACACACACACACACACACACACACACACACACACACACACACACAAAGATAAATGCTAACTGAACAGCCTAGTGCCATGGAAACATGCTATAGACACACACCACACAAGTCAACTGTGCTTTATTCTGTGGCCTAGATAGGCCTTTGTGCTTGAGCAAAATTCCCCCCCCCCCATGCTGTTTGGATGCTAAACAGTTTACATGCCTGTATAAAATAGGTCAGGTAGACAGAGCTGCAGTACAAAATTGCAGATTGATTAATCATCTTGTTCTCAGACCGACATACCTGGTTTTCATGATTGTATTCAGCGCGATGAAATAAAAATCCAAGGCTTACAGCTTTACACTCGTCTTTCTTCTTGTGGGGTTGAATGGAGGGGGTGTAAAGCCTTTGACAGGGATGAATATAATATTAAAGTGCTTTTGTACGGGTGTAACTGTCCTCCCCTGTCATCCATCACCCTGTCCCTCCTGCCAGCAGCAGCAGCAGCTGTGAGAAGCAGTGGCTGGAAGAGAGAGCAGAGCTGAGCAGCCGATGGACTTGGTTGGAACTGCGCTTGGCTGAACTAGAAGGGAGGATACTACAACTGGAGGGGGTCCACAAGCATATACGCTCTATGAAGGTATGACAAAAGGTGTCTGTACCAACTGACTGACAGACAGTTGGTCAGTTATATTATAGGACATTAAGCTTGCACACTTGTCAAGAAAAAGGATACAAAAAACAAACTTTCATGGATTGCCCGAGCTACAATAAGTAGTATGTTTTAATCAGTGTTTGGATCCTCTCTTCTCTGTCTTTCTGTGGATCTCTGTGTTTCTCAGGGTCGGGTGGTGCTTGCAGACTCCCAGCCACTGACTGACAGGCAGATTCAGCAGACCCTGCTGAAGGAAATGGCAGGTTTATCCTGCACAGCTTCTGATCCGGACAACGAACCCTGCAGCCCTACACGGCTTCTGCACAATATAGAGAGACAGGTAGGAGGGAGGGATTATTACTTGCACCTCTGATACCAGGTATGAGTTTAAAATAAAGAGGATTAGTAATCTAGAATTATAGATGCTGTTTTAGGAGATTACCCTTTTCTGTCTTGTGATCTTTCATATCCCAATGTCAGGTTGAGAGGATTAAACTAATTAATTATGGTATGCTTACTTTCTGACCTTTGTGGTAATATGCTAAATTAGAGGCTGCAGGTCAAATGAATGAATTTGTGCTTTATGAAGTCGACCGTTAAGTAATAAGTCTGTAACTATGAAATTGCTTATTTCTTTTTTGCAGCTGTTGAAGCTCAGATAGTAGCTGACATCTGGCTATGTATTTAAGATGGTGCACACTCTTGATTACGGATGGGTATCGTTTAGGTTTTATCCGATACCAGTACCAAACCGGTACTTTTGAAACGGTGCCGGTGCTTAAACGGTGCTCGAAACGGTGCTTAAAGAATGGAGAACACAGACTTTGTCCAAAAACTTCTCATGTTTAGCTCTTTTTTTGTAAAAAGATAACAATGTTAGCCTTTTCTGCAGCTATAGGGGATTTATGGCATCACTCTTGGCTGGAAGCAGTGCTTAATCAATGGAAAAAAACACCAAGTTTGTCCAAAAATCTCTCATGTTTAGCTGTTTCCCACTTTTTCTTTGGTCATTTTAGCCTTTTTGGCCAGGGTGAAAGGAAGTAACTGCCATCAAACAAGAAGACAGCCGCATGTAACCACGACGGTGTTTGCTAGTTCACCTTACGTGCATTAATGTAATAACGTGGTTAGCCTACTCAACGTAAATTACACACGAACAACATTAAGCTACTCGCCCAGAGAGTCATCATTTCTGCTACACTGGCAGGGCTAGGGGCCAGGACTCTCCTCTTCGGGTTCTTGGGGGATGTTGCTACCTGTCCGATAACAGGCAACCCACCCGCAGTAGATGTGCATGGTGTGAGGTCTCGCAGCAAGCTATCAAATACTGTGCATTTCTTGGCTTTCAAAAAAACGCTATGCGTCGCCAGGTGTTTCATCAGATTCGAGGTGTTACCTCCTTTGCACAGTATCAGCTTAAAGCACTTGTTGCAGGCTGCTGAGTTTGCATCTTTTGCTGTGAAGTACAGCCAGACTTTTTATTCTGTAGCTCTGCTCTAAAAGAACGTACGTACCTGGGCCCGCCTACTATCCTCGGAAAGGTAAAATGATTGGCTAGAATCCAAAGTGTATGACGTCTCAGGAAAAAAAGCACCGAAATGTGCGCTGCTTTTCGGTCTGGTTACTACCGTTTATGTTATGGCACCGGATACCGGTACCCATCCCTACTCTTGATAGCTTTAAAGCTGTACTTATGTGCACACAAGAATCAAATTTAGTAAAAAAACAAAAACGTATTGATTCACAACCCACACCGAGACATGTTGTGATTTAAGTTTATGACCTAGAGCTGGGTAATCTGTTGAAAAGATCATCAAGTGGTCCTTTTTAGATTCATGATCCTTGATTTTAATCACATTGATTCGACTCATGTGACCATATGATTAGTTAGGACACAAAACCTGTCACTTCAACTCCAGGCTAAAATCGTATAAGACACATAGTATGTTCAGTGAGCACCGACCTTACTCGTTTGCTTATCCTTGCAATCCATATGATTCGTATGGAAAGAAAACCACATGCCAACCTTAGGCGATCCATTATATAAAGTCATTAACATGCCCCCAGCGTGCTCACCCATCCAAGAAAAACAACTTCTATTTGTATCTCCATTTACACTTGCTTTAGAAGTGGTATGTACCTAAATACCAAAATATGTGTTTTGCCTCAACATGTTTTCTGAGCTCATTCAATGTGGGACTTTCTATTCACTCTCGGTTCATACTCTTTTTATTCTCCTTGGTAGAAAGTTCTCATGTGTACTGTGCTCCTTTTTAAGATTACAAGGCTTGCTTATATTTATCAGCCTGATACCAAATAATAAGAATCAGCCAAGGCTAAAGACATCTAACTCGATGTGATCTTTCTGTGAAGAAAATGCTTCAGGGGAAGTCTGAACGGCTGGATTGTATCTCACTCTTATGTGCATTATTTGGCTGATGTCTTCATTGCAGAGTGCTCAGCTTAGCCAGATCGTCAACAGTCTGATGCCCCCTCTGAGCTTTTCACCGCTCTCAAAACAGTCCCAGACCTGTAAAGACAGGAGAACCCTCCCAAGGTAGAGGACACACACACACACACACACACACACACACACACACACACACACACACACACGTAGTCAGATTGTGTTAATACCTATATTATCCTGTGTGCTTTTTACAAGTTGCAGTTAAATGACACATTTACAAAAAACGTCTTTAAAAACTGTTCATTTATGTGAAAATCTGACATATTTCAGACTCTAATGGTGATAGAAGTTTGTCTGTTATCTCTTTAAAGTCTAGGCGATAGGGTGAAAGCACGTCCCAGCTTGTCGTAAAACCCACTGAACCCACTTCGGTCTCTTCATGGAGTCTGACTTCAGTAATCCCTTCATGTCTCCCCTTCCTGTTGCCTTTTTAACTCTCTGCCTGCCTGTGAAGATGAAAGCCCCATAATAAATGAAAGGCATTCTGTTTCTTTTATTCATGTACAGTAACAAGTGGGTATAAGTAGGGATTGATGAACAAGATCTAAGGAATCAACACCTTGAAAGAAGTTGCTTTTCGAGCATTGTGAACTTGCTACAAAGCACAAACCTAACACGTGACCTCATCTGGTTGTGTTTCTGCAGCGGCCAGAGAGGAGATGTTTTCTTGCCTGTGAGCTCCAAGAGAAAGAGACTAGGGACTAGGCGGCTCTTTAAAGCTGATGCGTCATGCGTGTGTGCCCGAACCCGACCCCTGGTCACCTACCACAAGCCCAGGCTGTTCACTTTCAACTCATACGGCTCTGGCAGTCCACTGGTAAGCCATATGTCGACCCCCTTCTTCTTCTAGTCTGTTTAACCATTTACATGCTGTATATAATTGTCAAATTGTGCGTCTTTTACCCTGCAAGCATATCAAATACATTGATTTATGTACTTCTTAAAACAGTTCAGAGATTCTTATAAAATGTAGCTTTAAAGCAGTGCCTTTGAGACCTATTTTAGCTTCAGTAGTGGAGTGCCATCACTAAAATAGGTCTCCAAATTAAATAGGAATTATTGTTCAAAGCCGAACACCTGCTTTTAATTAAGAAATAATATCTCTAATTCAGATCAACAAATGCAGGGTGCTATTTTAAAAGCTCAAGCCTTTATTTAGCCTGCGGGGCCAGTACATTATGCTGTCCTCTTACTGCAGATAAAAGATTGTAGTGGCGGTGTGTGTCGAGTGCTTCTTAGCTTCACACTGTTGCGGTAATGAGGATGTGTACAGCATAGGAATCTATAAATCAGCTTAACTATTTAATTTCTCATTCTTGACCTTGAAGGACTTTTAAGCATCGGCATGTCTCACACAGTGCCGGGATATTTATAGTTTCTGCATCTTTCTGATTCTGAACACTGCAATTGTAGCTGCTATAATAAGCAGCGCTGAGCCATCATCATTGTGACATTGTTCAATAACAAAAAGAGCGTTTAACAGATTAATGACTTTAATCAGTGCACTCCATCAGAGATCAGCTTCCTTACATCCATATCACTTATATCCTAAGAGAAAGGAAAGGTAAACTGTAAAGAAATTCTTTCCTGTTGCTAATCTTGCTCCGCCTATCTTGAGCATTTTTTTTAAGTAATCTTTTTAATCTCTTGTTCTCTTTTCCTTTTCCAGCACTCAAGAAAGTCCACGGCTACCTTCTCCTCCTCGCTGTCCTCATCTTCCTGTTCATGCTACTCCTCTTGTGATCCCATAGTCTCGTGCTCTGATCCCGACTGTAGCTCCAGCGGGGTCTCCTCCGACACCTTCAGCTTTCGACGTCACCCTGTGTCGTCTCTGTCGTTTGGTAGGAGAAACGTAGCTACATTACATTGGTCAGCATGAGCAAACTTTGTAAGCTAATCAAGATTTTTAGATCATTTGATTACAATGTTGTTTTTGAACTGCAGTCAGTAAGAGTAAATATTAGGCTTCCTGTCTGACATGGTAGACTGACTCTGAAGGGTCACACACCCTGGCCATGTATTTGTCATCTCAGGCCTGTAGAGCAAAAAAACCCCAACAAGATTTGCTAAAGTAGGGGGCAGTTGAGATATGTTTGTAGGGTTATAATAAACTATAAGGCATAAAAGGTAGATGTTTTTAGTTATACGTCTTGTCATATCAGCTTACTATAGTGTGATCAGTCAGAATTTTAAAAAGACCCCACTGCACACAGCAGATGAGAATAATCTGCCAAAACTTAACCGAACTGGTCCACAGAGCCAAGAAAACAGGTCAGGTTACATGCAATATTTTAAAACTGGCATCACAATAATTAAACCTTAAAATGAAAGCACAAGTCCTGTCGTGATGGACCGTAACCACATTTTTAATCGCACTTTGGAGAACGATCACTCAGATGAAGTCAACATAGGGACAAGTCCAAATGTTTTCAGGGGGATAAAGCTCCTTAATCTCCTGGTCTTCTGTTGTGCTCTTTTGCAATGATAATATTTTTAACTACTGGTGACTACTAATGTAATTTGATCGTGATTCTTAGTATTATTTAAACGTTCTTTTTTTTTTTTTTTTTAAATTCAATTCAGTTTTATGTATACAGCGCCAAATAACAACAACAGTTACCTTAAGGCGCTTTATATTGTAAGGTAGACCCTAGTAGGGCTGTGCGACATGACCAAAATCTCATATCCCGATATAAGAATTCTATCATCCCGATAACGATATAAATCACAAAAATGTAACATTTTCTGTAAATTCTGTAAATTCTGTGAATCTCGGGCAGCTCGTCTTGCGGGAAGTGTTTCCAGCTCCGCGTCATGTAGCTGGAGTCGAGTGTTTTAACCGATGCGTGAAACTATACATTTTTAGACATAAGTTGTAACGGCCGCCGTTTTCTTTGTCAGTATTTATTACACGGCGTGCTGCGGGGAAAAGCCTGTTCTAACGTTTAGGTCTAAGGTTTATTTTTTAGCTCTTGGCGGCTCTTTTTTACTTCTCATCCGTAAATAATCTGCTCTTTCACGTGATTCAGTTTATTTTGAAAAGTCTCAACAGGATCTTGAGCTTTATTGTGAAAGGTTTATGTGGAACATAAACAAGCGGACACGCGATGCTGTTACCGTCATTGTTGCTAACCACAAAGCATAAAAACAGGCACTTGTCTGTCTGTAATGTGGTTATATTAAATATAAGAGAAAGAGAGAACTTTAAGAAATTAATATAGCCACTACAGTGACCATCAAAACGATGAAAAAATATTGCCGTAAACAGTTTATTTTGCAACACCATGAAACAAATGATGGCGTAAAATGAAACAATAGACGTTTTTATATCGTCATCCGATATATATCGTTATATTGAACAGCCCTAGACCCTAGAATAATATATTCAGAGAAAAACTCAACAACCCCCTATGAGCAAACACTTTGGTGACAGTGGGAAGGAAAATCTCCCTATTAACAGGAAGAAACTTCTGGCACAACCATTCTTAAATACATGGCAGCAGGGATGGTGTGTAAAGAATTTTTAAAAACTTTTTAAAATTTATTTTTCTTTTTGTTTTAGTATGCATAGATTCTGTACAACTAGGGCGACGCGTGTTGAGATGCTACTGTTTAAACTGTGTGCTGAATTGAATTTGCAAAAGGTGTTGTATTCTTGTGTCCCCACACTTAAAAATGGTCACATTCTTCCAGGCACACCTACGAGCCACCACGTAAAGAGGGTGCCAGGCAGAGAAGTATGGTCCCAAAGACCTTTAGTTGTCAACAGTCCAGTAAACTACAAGCGACACAGCTCCACGCCGCTGCACAACAGTAAGATCGCTCTGTATACTTGTACTGATTACAAATTATGCCTCATTGTGTGGTGCTCTCTTTCATTCTGCTGGTCTCCTTTGTTTTCACCATACTGATATTTAGGCCCAAAGCATGCTTGCAGCTTACTATAGTGTGATCAGTCATTCAGCGATTAAGAAGAACGAAGGATAGAGGTGCAGTTTAAAAAACCGCACCTGTGCATGTGCTCTTAATACCGATATCAAAGCGACTGGATCAGATTGTTTTTGCTAAAGTAATATAACCTATAACAGGCAAGCAAAAGTTACTTAAATTGTAATTGTAGCTAAATCAGTGGTAGCATTCGTGTCTTTATATTCTAAGCAGCCACTCGGATTCATTAATGCAACAGTTCAGGTAATAAATGCAGTCTTTCAGTTTTTCTAAAGAATAATTTGTGCATAATTAAAAATGAAATGACAGTTCATCATATCCAGACAGCTCACCCATTTGCTTGTATTCAGTGAAGGCAAACAATAACCGGCTGCTTCAAAGTCATCCGCTCACTCTGCTTGTTTTCTCCCCGTCGACTATCATAATTCATTCCTAGCGTGTCAGATATCCCACTGGGGCTGTAAGAGGCATCCAACTGAGCAGTAGATGGAAATAAAATCATTTGGCATTTCACCTATGTCTGTAAGCACCTTGGTATGTTAGTCTGAAAGCTAATGAATGATCATTTCCTGTAACATTTATGCTGCATACCTTTGGCAGCCTGGAAGGTTAACAATTTAAGAGGATCTTGCATACATGGTTTTCCATATTGTAGATGGATGATTCAAAGTTTAGATTTTCCACTATTTCTCTGGTAAAGGTTGAGGAAATGTGGAATGATATAGATGAGAGGGGGAGAGCATAAAGGAGGAGACACAAAGGAAGCAGACTGACAACGGATGAAGGCATCAGACCGGGCAACGCTTGTCGATTTTGTGTCAGCTTGAATGATCTTATTGTCGTTTGTCAATACCCGAAGAAGGCAGTCTGTCAGGTAAATGCCAGCTCAGATAATAGCCACATGGAAGCAGATTTCTTATCAAAGCTGATCTCAGCTGGAATGGGATGAGATTACATAAACCGTCAAATCAAGCAAGATGCAGAAATGTGGATGGATGACGTGGAGACTGATGATAAATGACTTTCAACTGTGGTATATTTTACAGTGTAACATAGGGAACTCAGTGTGTTTAAAGACAAATTAATTGCTATAGCCATATTTAAAAAAAAAAAAAAAAGATCCACTTCTGTGTCCTGTTCCTTTAAAGTAACTTGAAGCAGCAGTTTGGTGAGTAAAACTCATATAAATAATGATTGGGGATTAATGTTTTCACTGATTGGTAGTAGATTGGAATAAAAATGAAAAACTCAAAATCATTCTGACAGTCTATTAATTCAGTTTCTTGTGTTTGTCTCTGTGTTTCGCTGTAGGTCAGGAATACAAGCAGAACGGCAGGCATCGTAAAAGCAGAGTTATGGGTTTGTCGCCCATCAGGTTGTTAGTCTCTGCTCAGAGTCGACACAGCAAAGCCAGTCAGAGGAGAAGGAAGAGAAGACGCATCCGCAGGCTGCTGGAAGGTGTGTATACGCAGTGAAAGCTCATACTTGGGTTTCATTACTTCTTCCACAGCTTATGTTTTTGGTCGTGTGTGCGTGTCGTCATTCTGTCTGCAAACACATTAGCTCGAAACGTTTTGATTGAATTCTGGTTAAGCGTTGTAGGGGTGTAGAGCGCTGTCATGTTAACAGTACATCAAAATTTGTCTTTCATCCAAAAAAGCCTTAGAACTCAAAAATGAAACATAGATGAATCTGTATCATCAACATATAGGGAATGATCTATGGGGATTCTAAGTATCATATAGCTTTATGTCATTTACACATAGAATGTCCTCATAAATAAAACCAAATTGTACTTAAAATCATGTCAAATATATTAAAATGAGTTTCAGTGGGGCAAATAACAACAAAAGCCTGCACTTTCCACTTGTTTTTACTCGTATGCTAACACCTTAAAAAACGTTCAAAAGAACAAAGAAAATTAAATGAATATATAGAAAATATATATAAAAAATACTATTTCCTAAACGTAAATACGACCCAGAGTGAGCTGCCTTAGTGGAAATTTGTGCTCTTGATGTTTCTTGTTAGAGCTGTTTTAACAATGTAGCTACTGGTTTTAGTGTACAGCATGCCTGTATATGTCTGTGTTTGTATACCCAGATGAGGAGGATGCCCTGTACCAGCTCTGTGATCCAGCAGAAAGCTCAGATGATGTGCTAGAGGAGAGCTACTCACATGCATCACACAAGCAGGCCTCACAGGTAACACAAAACATATGTTATTATTAAAAACTAAAGAGCCAAGAAAATGATATAGATGAAATGTCAGAAGTAGCAGATTTAATTCAGATTAGGATAGGATGGATATGACAGGATAGGATAGATCCACCTACGTCACTTAATATGCGCATATGTGTGAAATGTAAAGAAAGATGACCACAAAAGTTTTGTCAGGACATCTGAAGATTTAGAATGACTTTGAATATGTAAACTCTTCTGAACGATTGGTAAGCTCTTGATTCAACCTGGGAACGTTTCCTTCTAGGGCTTTGTTCGCAAACGCCAGGGAGAGAACGTGTACAACATCAACAACATTGTCATTCCCATGCCACTGGCTAAAGTAGAAAAGCTGCAATACAAAGAAATTCTAATACCCAGGTATGAAATGGAAACACCCCTGAAAGTGTTACAATGTATCACTATGAACCATAACTCCTTTAGGAAGACTAATGACCAGTCTTATTGACTGGTTTTACAGTAGTTGTGATTCTGCATAATTGTATTTTGCAAGTTCTTTATTATAAACAATCACTTTTACCAGAGTGATGTCTGATTTGTATTGTTTAAAAATGACAAAAGTAAATGGAAGTTGTCCATTATCATTATTATAATGATTAGTTTATCTTTATTGCAGTTGGCGAGTAGTTGACATCCAGCCTCTGATGGAGATGGAGCCAGAGAAGGTGGAGGGGCATGAAACAGAGCATTTCTTTTCTTTGAACATGAGCAGTTTATTTTCATTTGTGAACAATCCAGCATCTTAATGCCCTTCTGTCTGTCTGTCTGTCTGTGTGTTGTGTTCAGGCTGAGGCTCTCAGTGATGAAGTCTTTGCTCAGCGGCACCTGGCTTTGGAGCAAAAAGAGAAGTTACGCTGGTCGTCCTGGGATAAGAGGAAACACCGTAGGCGCCCTACAAGGTGTGGACACCCACACAAACTCATAAATGTAGCAATAATGAGAGTAATGCAAAATCTAAGGTGAACCGCAATGTTAGAAAATGTTAGAATGTTTTTAAAGGGCCTACAGAAATAAAACAATTCTGTAAAAATATACAAAAAACCTCAATAACTGAGGAAGTTAATCCAGCTAGATAATGAGCAGACAGAAGAACGTGTTATAACCTCAGATCTTCCAATAGATGTTACCTGAATGTGGATTAATGCCACCACTAATCATTGTATTACATTTGGAAAGCTTTAAACAGTGAACTCTCAAAGGCGTGCAGCTGGTTTCAGACTTGTTTTGTTTGTGTGCATGTAAAAACCTGGAAATTTGAGACAGTGTTTCATGGGGTGTGTTTGTTTTCTCATTCCAGATCTGGCAGCAGGCTTTTAGGCAGTGGGGGTGGGATGTACACATCAGGAGAGGAGAGTTCTGTGGAGTGGAGTTGCGCTCAGCTGGATCTTGATGATTCGCTGAGGTCAGAGGAGTGGCTGGTAAGATCAAAAGCGCCACAGCTGAAACCTGAAATCCCCAAGACAAACTGAGAATATCACAGGATGGTTGATCAAGGTGACACAGGAGGCAGCTCATGTGGAGTCATGCATATTTACGCTGTTGTGTCCCCAATATGCTGTTTACCGTATTTACGCTTGACTGTTGTTTCCAACACAAGGCGTTGTAAATCATTTAAAGGAAAATCAGCAGACTGCAGCACTTTCACCCATACATTGCTGTAAGGATATTTTCTGTAACATTCCTGTGAAAAAATGAAGCCGTTTCACGTGTCCTTCAGCAGAGACAAAGAATATAAAGCAGCAACATTCATCTCATTCATCTTGTGTGAGCTATGGAGCCTTGGTGGGTTCTTGAGAGCCTACACAGATACTTGTTTCCACTCTTGTTTCCTGTGATGATGCCCTGATTGCAGTCCTCTATTCCACTTTGCTTTGATTGGAGAGCCAATGAGTTGTCCCTAAACCAGACTTACCTAATCAACCTTCTCCACACTACAAATAACCCCTACTTCACTGCATTGCACTTCTTATGCACTCCAGAGGCCATACAAACCATGATTAAAGCACAACCATTATTTATTTATTTATTTTTAAACAGACCTCTGAGCCATGCACAGAGGTATTATAGCCCTCAATGTGCATATTCACTGAAGGGACTGTTATGGAAAAAAGGACAAATAAAAAGCTTTCTGCAGTTTTATTTTACACTTAATCTCTGCCTTGCAGGAAATGTATGTAGCCAGTTGTGACTACTTACAAAAATGCGCCCCCCTGTCATATTCAATTTACAAATAAAGATAATATTCAATATTTTTCTGAATGTCATTGATTTGTCTTACTTGTCAGCCTCAGACACCCTGGGAGCCTCGAGTCTTTCCTTTGGATGAGGATGAGGAAGGCGCTCTGCTCTCTGATAAACAAGAAAAAGTCCCGTATGGGTGCTTAGGGATTAGTTCAGCCTCTTGCACATCAAAGAACTCAAACTCCCAACCAGCTCCAACTCAGGCTTCTTATGCTACACTGCCCTCTGGGGGACAAAGCAAGAACAGCAGCTGATACTGCCGTGCCGCCTTTTTTTTTGTCTTTGAATGTAAGTTCATTAAAATTTTTTACGTGTGTGTGTGTCTGTCTGTCTGTCTGTCTGTCTGTATTTTCTCAATTTTAAGCAAGTTTAATTTGTTTAACCCTTTATTCCACATCAGTCATACACTGAATTGTCTGTGCTTTGATTCATCTATCCAGTATGTCATTCATAACATAAAATTATTATTACTATTATTGTGATTGGACTTTAACACATACATTATTAATTTATTGGATCATTCATAAAGAGTACAAAGAGTATTTTAGAAGGTTAAGCCTCTGAAAAACATAGTATTTTATGTAGTAGTTCAGTATTTTATCACTTAATTTAATATTTGCATCATTTCTTTTCCATTACTTTTCCAGATCTCCTCTCATCAGGGACAACGAGCAGAACATGTGCCCTAGGAACCTTACCGGGAATATTTAATACATTCCACGAGCATTGTGATCTGATGTAATAAAAAAAAAAACGAAATTTTTTTTTTAGGCAAAAGTGATTATTTTGTTAGGGTTGTGACAGTAGTCACAGTAGTTTTAACTTCTGCAGCGGGTTCAGGTTTTAATGTAAAAGTGGTACTGTATGTAAAGTAATATATCTATCAGCAACTCCACTGTAGTGTCACGTTTCTTTCATGTTTGTATCTGTCAACGCTATTTATTTCTACAGCTGTCTTAAAATGTAAATATAGGATATGTTTAGTAACTTTTTATTTAATTTTTAACTTTTACTTGGTGTACTTGTGCTTTCTGTTTGAAGATGCTGTCCTTTTTGTATTTTTTTTTCCACAAAAAAGAAAATGTATTTGGAAAATATAAAACTTTCCAATATAGATGCCATGCTCTACTTCCATAGTTATCTCAGTGATCAGATCTGTAGCAAAGGGACATGGCTGCTATTTTTTCCTGGATTGAGAAGCTGCACTAACGACTCCTACTGGGCTTTTGTTTTTTGGGGCTATGCTTTGATTCGGGGTCCACTCAAATCTTCATAAAAAGATATCTGTATATTCATATCCACATATCTGTAGACAGTTTGTAGTCCATCTGTTGTCTAAATTTGAGCAACTAATCACATTCAGGCAAGCTGTTTCCAGGTAAACAATGGAAAGGAAAAGAAGGATGCAACCTAACCAAGATCACCAATAAGACCCAATGAAAAGGTGAATACATGCATCATTTTAAAATGTCTGATTTTTACTTGTGGTACTGCAGTTGCTGAATATTTTATTCTTTTTTGTTGTTGTTTGTTTTGTTCTTTTAAAGCTCTTTTTGCAGTGCCCTATTATTTGCACACATAGGAGCAATAAGAGCAATACACCTAAAAATACTATGTTTTAATCCCCCTGAATATGTGGTCAAATTACAGGGATAATGTCTGCACATGGCTGGACTGAGGTGCCCCCCAGTAATATCGGTGTTTTGAAAATCTGAAAAATTATTTCCTTTCAGGATTCTTGCAGCCCGTCACTACTGGAAAATCCAACAGGTGTGTGGAAGGATTTCAGGAGGAGTTTAACTAGGAGCAAAACTGTAAAACGACAGAAGGGAGATGAGGTAGAAAACAAGCTGCCTGTGTAATTGGGTCATGACATAGAAAATCTGAAATTAGAATATTGCACATCATTGCTTGTCAAGCTGTCAGTGCCCATTAGTCTGAAAACGAACAAGTCAAGTGAGGCGTCTCTTCAGTTGAGAGCTCCGAGGTTTTAATTTCAATAATGTGAAGGATGTCTGCAATTCTCGCCAAGTCTACTTAAATAAGATGTAATTTATAAAAGTTGGATGGACAGAACATTGTGAGGTCATTTCAGTGATTTGGATGATTTACCTTTTATGGAGGTCGTCACTTTTTAAGGCCACAGTCTTAAAGTGAAACAGCTGGTATTTTTGATCCCGTATGCATAGCTTCCTCTTATAGCGACCTGGGAAGGAGGCAATGGGCAGATGGTGGTCAAGGTCATCCCTCTCACATACTGTATGCATGTCAGCTGCTTTATACTGGGGATTTGGTGCTAAGATTCTAGAAATCGAAACTTGGATTTCATTAAATTAATTTACAGATTATAACTGGATGATTCCAAGTTCATAGAGGTGAATAGGGCTCATCTGTGCTTTCACATGGCTTCGGGTGTCAGCTGAGGTAAATCTTTTCATTCTTTAAGATCCCCTTCCTTGGTCACACAGCATTACAACACTCTTTGTTGGAGTCAGCAGAAAAAAAACGTAAAACTATCAAGGTCGCTTGCACTCACTTCCAATTGAGAAGTGGGAGACCTCGTCTCTCCTTGAAAACTGAAGAAGAGCTCGAAGTGTCACATCAGTGCAATAGTAGTAGGATTGTCTGATCTCAATAGCAGGCAAAAAGAACCTCTTGTATCCACATGGGGGCCATATTGCTTCTTAGAAGACTACACAAGTCAACGAACAATATAATGCATACACATAGACTGTTTCCATGAGCTCTACATCAACTGAGTAAAATTAACCCTAACCCTATAAACGAATAAGCAGATTATTAACCCAATGAAAAGGGGGGAAGATGTGTGCACTGAACTATGAAAAGCAGATTGTAACTACAGCATTTGCACTCTGGGAGGCGCTCTTATATCAAAGAATATCTGAATACCGATTTACCATGTGTAAAAAATAAATAAATAAAAAATACTTACTGTTGAACTGGGATGACCACAAGTAACAGATGGGAAGTGATTCTTCATTAAGAACATTGATTCTGGGAAGCCAAACTATTTTTCATGCAGTATTTTTAACCCATGCCCCGAACTGCACGTGTGCCTTTATACTGATTTATTGCCATAGCAACCTAAAGAACGTAATACTTGACGAGACGACATTTCGCCAGCCTTATTTACTTTGCAATACCTGCTGGCGTTGTACCTTTACGTCAACACAGTAGGTTTTACACTTCCGTTTAACCTGAAACGCGTCGGTACAGTTTGTTGCTGCTCCACCTCTGTGGTAATTTCTAGCAAAGGGTACACCAGAACACCGTAATGGCTAGTTTAAACACCGACGCAGTCTATCGGCGTGACTAGTAGGATCATTACGGTAAATGTAGGTTGCGGAGCCTGTGTGTGTCCGACAGACCGGGAGTTCCTCTGGAAGACACTACGCCGAACAGGTAAAGAATTCAACACTTCTTTGCTTTTAACAGCGTCGTTTTAATGCAGTATAATATATTGCGATTGGCAGCGACTTAAAAAGCATGCGACATTGAATGGCTAGAAAAAGAAGTCCTTAGACCCAGCAGTAAATTGACATTTCAGTGAGCTGAAGCTGAAATGATGAGGTGCCCCTCTGTGTCTGTGTGGATGGAAAAAGGACGCATTGTTCGTCCGAAGGAGAAGTGAATCTGGGCTCCTGTGAGTCTGTGTGCTGTCTGAGCTGTGGTGTGAGCCGGTTTTAAGATGAAAAATGCTGCGAAATTCATCCGATAATAAATCACATCTTAGGAATAGATCTAGAAATCAGAATCCCAAGATGGGTAGAATCCACACTGACTGACCTAATTGATCCACTTTTTAATTTTTTGATGGGGTTCAGGAATAATGTCTGCATTGTGCTACTTAAAGGCTTCACCTACTGCGGTGACTGCGGGAACTTGGCTTACTGCGGTGGCAGTGCAAGGCTATTGGGCTTTAGTAAGCCTATAACACATTTCGGAAAGCTGTAGGTAACTGTGATAAAATCATCAGAGGGAATCCCTAGAGAAATATGACATTAATTTCCAATCACCCCAGAAAGGAAAAAGGGGGTGCAAAGGGAAAAAAACAGGTGCTGAGTCATATTGGCGGGTCCTTCCCCTGATTGATCTCACAAATTGAAGCCCTGTATGTGCATGTCTGTTGTTGTCACCGTCGCCACTGCATTTAATGTTAGATTACAGTTTAGTTTATTTCATTTAAAGGCATTTTGAAAGACTTGATGTCTTTATTATACCCAGCACAACAAATAACACTTAAAAAAAAAGCCAGGGCTGTTACACCTCAGAGGTCTTTTTCTTCATACTGAAATGGCTATTAAGTAAGCTCATACATGATGGGTTCCTTACACAGTACATAGGCTTCAGTCCAGTCTCATTTACATACAGGCACTGGCTATTGATTTTCCTCCATCAAGTCCATTTACAGTTTGTGCACACATACATATAAATGCCTGATGCATTCAGGATGAGGCTGTCATGCACAGCCAGGGAGGCTGCTGTGAGCTCCTCCTTGGTGAGGGATGGGGCTCATGCTTTCATGTTTGTGAAGGACCCGGCTGGTCGTTCCACCTAGGTCTACATTTTGCCTGTTGGACGTAAATTCAGCTTTCTCAAGATGCTTCAGCCATCACATCCTTATATCTCTATGGCAAAGAGGACAAGAGGAACATTTCAAGAGCTTACTCCACGTTTGGATCTATACTTTGACATATTCTGGAGAAAAAAAGGCCAAAAAGCAACAAAACTGGAACATATGTAACATGCCTTCTGTTTTTTTCTTTGTGAAGTAAAGGTTATGATTTGCTTCCTTTAAATTGCATTAATATCGACACATTGCCTTTGCATTGGTGATTAATGATGTGTTTATTTTAGCATAAATGACTCCTTTTATATGGGCTTTATGTATTGATGAGAAGGTAAACAGTCTGAGTTTACTGATTGCGTTTCTGATTGTGTTTAGCCGGAAAGTTGACCTCTGATGCAAAATCTTTGTAGTGATAGCCCTTTTTTTGCTGAAATAACCAGTTGACGTTGAAGTATATGTATTAAAACAAACAAGCAAAAAAAAAAGCCTAATTGTCTTTCTATTGTCGAAATCTCAGATTAACTGAGAGTAAACTGAAGCTGAAATTATGAGGTTAATTAAGGATTTTGGCTCAAATGTGTAAAAAGAAGGGTTGATGGTTTCGGTATTAAATGTCACCCCTGTTTAAGTTGTTGGAAATAATATTGAAAGAATTCTAAGTAAAGTATTTGTTGTCTTACATGTATATATTGCAGGGCTGTGGTTTGTAATCTCAGCCAATAAGTGTGCAGAAACATTCTTAAAATTGATCGGATCTAATAAGCAAAACTGAAAACTTTCATTTGGCTGTAAGAGTGACAATACCGTTTGAGGTGCCAGTTAGGATGGGAATAGCACTGCAACCTGGCAGTTCACATTCACGTGTGGCGCCTTGCATTGTGGGTCAGCTTTACATAAGCCTTGTGTGTCAGTGAGGCAACCTAATCCTGATTCCTACAAAGATACTTAGTCAGCCTGGACAGCTATACACACACACACACACACACACACACACACACAGGCAGTCCTCCTTTGTCACATTCGGAGTTTGATGTAATGCTCCGTGCTTGTTTGTGTCTGTGTGAGACAGAGAAAGTGGGAAAGGCTCCCTGTATGAAAGAAGATAGACACTCAGTGGTATCTTTGGCTGCAGCGCCAACACACTAACACTCAACCGACATGCCTGCCAGCTAACTGCCAATCTCGCTCCCTTCTTTCTGTCCCTCTGGCAAAGGGAGGTATTCCAGGTTTTTGTAGAGATTAGCACACTGGTCAGCGTGCCTGTAAAGTAGTGATTTATAATTATCTTAAGGATCAACTAGGGGCACAGATTTTCTCATTGCTGAGTAATTGGTCAGTTATTTAATTTATAGGTTGATTGGTTTTGATTTTATCTCAAAAATTTGTAAAGCTAATTTTTTATTTTTTTTTTAGAATCCACATTTGTATTAAATGCGACAAAAATACTGGCAGTCCTCACATCTGAGAAGCTTTGCAGTTCACATATATGAAAACAGTTTATTAATGTTAATGACTCAATAGGGCTGCTACTGCAGTTACTAGTAATAGTTGTTTATTCTTGTTGATGGCATAAACTTTTGCACTGAGATCCAGGATTCTTTCTTACACACTTGCACTTGAAATCGATCCTGTTTTGAGGAGAGAGGGAAATAGAAAAGCATATGGGGTTCATAAATAACTAGCAGGTCATTGATTAAGAGCTTGCTATAGTACTTTAGCTGACCACTTATATTCATTGTAACAGTGGGTAGTTTGGTGTCAAGGATGCATGGCAGGAGTTCTGTGTCACCAGGATAAGGTCCAGCTTTACGTTCGGTATTCAGCAGACTTTGTTGAGCATGGTGTTTAGACAGTGCCTATGCAAAGCACCGGTATGAACGAATGCTTTCAGGTCAGGGACAGGTGAAGGGCAACCATCACCCGGAAGGCAATGTCTTGCTTGATGACAGCAGTTTATTGACACTGGGAAGCTTTGATTGATTTGAAGCTTTGATTGATTGTCCTATTCAGTAATGGTTCCTCCTTGTCAACTAAAGCTATCTGTACAATATGTAGGCTGAAGGATTGAAGCACGCAAAACTTGGTCACCACTCCAACCTTTAATGCAATCATATACAAAGCAGTTATTTCACTTAGGTAGTATTTCCATGTCATACCTGTCAAATGTCACATTTAACCAATGCGATGCAGCTTTTAGTGACTTTACAAATTTTTCTTGTTTATACCGTGAACATCTTACCAATTCTTCCATTGCAATCTTCTCTGAGAGCAGATTATCAGTGGAAATAAAGCGTGTAAGTCGTAATCCCAGATCAGCATTGAAATGCTAATGGAAAGCAGAATGCTGACTTCACTTGTGCTCTTGACAGTCCTGTCAGCAAAAGAGCAATCACGCTGACAAGTCTGAGCTAACTAATTTACATTTTTGGCTACGGTTCAGGAGTGGCATGCCCCCGTGCTGACCTCGCCTGACTTGAAGCTAACGGACATCCACTTCCACACAGATTTCTACACGCTGAGCAGCGTGATGTTATATATGCTTTTATGTGTCTTGTGGAATTCTGTTCCTCAGCTTTGATTTTTATGCCCCGAGGGACAGCTGGGGTCAAGCCCAGTGGTCTTTAGTTTGCAGGAGGCTGAGATCAGTCAAGTCAAACCCACAACCGCCTGCCCCAACATCCAGACTCTCTCTGTCTTCCTGACACCTCTGGTTGGAGTATAGACAATGGCTGTTGGTTGCATACTGAACCTAAAGCACATCTCTTTAGTAATGTGGATAAAACCAAAAGCGTCCAAGCTTGAGCTTGACACAGATTTAAAATGTAGTTACACAGATATTTCAGAATGTAGTACTCTGACAGAAAAACCTCTCAATTATTTGAAAGTGCACTAGGCTGTTTTTTTTATTTTTAAATTCACAAATTGCTTCCTCCTTATTGAAAATTCTTTGGACATGGAATATATTTGCTTTTGCTATTGCCAGCACCTCACACTCTCAGATGGGAGCTCTGGCATGAGAATTCACATGAAAATTGGACTGTAGTGTTTTGTATTTACGCATGAATATGGAAAATGAGTCACCGTCCTTCCAATGTTGCATGTCAACTTTCTTACAGCAAAGCCTGTTGAGGATAAATAATATCCAGTCCTCAAGAAAAACCCCTAGAGTTTAAAGTACAAGGTGAGACTTGTATGGTGTAATGATGGTGCGATTTTTACTGCAGCGCCATAATTTGAAAAACAACAGTGTTTATTTTTTTGTCATCATAAAATCACTCACAGGTGACAGGAAGTGATAACATCAGGCAAGAAGCCACAGTTTCACGTACTGTTGGCAGTTCCAGTGTCCAAGCAAATCTTTGTCAAAGAATATGGCACACGTGGCATATAGCACTGATATGTAAGAGAAAAAGAACAGGTGCATGTGTTTACTATTCATATATGCATTTGTGCTTCAAGTCAAATATAGAAAATCGATAAAACACGAAACTTTATTGACACCATTCTGATGTCAGAAGTGTATATGGATGGATTATTTTTTCAAAGTAAAGAGAATATGGTATGTAGAACGAGAAAGAAAGCTGATATAAATATATGTGTGGGCTGAAGCAGGAAAAACATAAGGATGACTCACAACTCACCTAACTATCCTGTTTTTCCTCTCCTCTTGTGTGTGTTGTTTTTGCATCTGTGTTTGTGTACAACATCCCTCAGTCTTTGTGTGGGAGTCTGTGCTTAAGTGTGTGGGTATCGTTTACAGTTAAATAATGCTTGTGCTAAAGGAGAAAAAAACATCCCCCTCAGCATTTTCTCTGGTGTGTGATGTTGACTG